TCACTCCGACTATCTCATATCCCGACCAACCCACCTCTTCCTACTCAAACGTGCCACCTAATTACATTTCCCACTCTCCCGCCCCATCACCTCTCCCATATAATGACACCGCAGAGCACCACACCTCGCCTCACTCACACCCAATACAACACACTGGGCAATCTCCCCTCATGGTCCCACACAGGTCACATTCACGACCAGTCTCGATCTATGATCGGCGATCTTCTATTTCCTCAATTCATTCCCGACGCTCGCAACACAGCCCGGCGCTGAGCAGCATTGAACCGGATGAAGACACCAAAGAAAAAGGGCGCTGCCCACACCCCGACTGTGGCCGAGTCTTCAAAGACCTGAAAGCTCACATGTTGACTCACCAGTCAGAGCGACCAGAGAAGTGCCCGATCCTGAACTGCGAGTACCACCTGAAGGGTTTCGCCCGCAAGTATGACAAGAACCGCCACACCCTGACCCACTACAAAGGGACAATGGTATGCGGCTTTTGCCCGGGGTCCGGCTCCCCCGCGGAAAAGAGCTTCAACCGCGCCGACGTCTTCAAGCGCCATTTGACTTCCGTCCACGGCGTGGAACAAACACCACCAAACTGCCGGAAGCGCAGCCCCGGCCTAGGCAAAAAGGGCACCAACTATAGCCCCGATGCGACAGGAAAGTGCTCGACCTGCTCATCGACCTTCAGCAACGCGCAAGACTTCTACGAGCATCTGGACGACTGCGTTCTCCGCGTCGTGCAGCAAGAAGAACCTTCGGAGGCGATCAACCAGCAGCGCCTGGCAGAGGTGGCCTCAGACGAAGAGGTCAAAAAGACCATGGAGAAGCACCAACTACTCGACGTGGCTGGCCCGGTCGACCAATTCGACGATTACGAAGACCAAGATGACGACGATACCCACGACCCTTCCAGCTGGCGCGGGCTGAAGACTAAGTCCAGACCGTCGAAGGGCAACATCCCCGCCTCCCGCCCTATTATAGGCTCCGGAAATGCCATCTCCAAGAATTCCTCCAAACCCCCTCGTGCTGTCGCAACCCGCCGGCGCAATAACCGAGGTAACTACCCTCAGTCTTGGGGCTGCCCCAGCAGCAGCATGAAGACCAAGAAGCGCGTGCTATGTGTCTTTGATGGCCAGCGCCGTTTGTGGAAAGACGAGATGATGCTCAATAATGAGTTCGAGGTCCGTATGAGACTCCCCGGTGGTGCGGGCGATGGCACCAACCGCGATGCCTACGTTACCGATCTGGACGTCGAGACGTTGAAGCGCGCTGAGGGGGTGCTGAATGCCTCCGAGGAGGAGCGTGGTCCTTGGTTGAACGGTCCTTCGCCTCATATTATGGGTCAGCCGGCGATGCTGTTGCCAGAACTGACACGTGATGATGAGATTTCGATCAATGAATTAATGGCTTAAATGACTTCCTTTTGTCTTTCTCCTTACTCCCTACTCTCTATCTCCCTTCCCCTTCTCCCTACCTTTGGAAGCCTATTCGTGTCTATGTTGTTCTTTTCATGTCTCATGTTTCCGTACAGCAGCGGCGTCTTGACGAGCGATTTGTCTGAATACGGATTATGGATGGTACCTTGGGACTAATACGTTTGAATGGCTTGTGTCTTTGCTATCTGTTTTCTCTCCAGGCTGGTCGTCTATGCCTGTATGCCAGATCCTGCTGGTCGGGATCTATACCAGGACACTATTAATTGGAGACTAAAAATGAGTGTCTAATTGAAAGCATAAAAAGAAAAACATTCTATATTTTTAATTACTTGGATACCAACTGTATAGTAAAAGAAGACTAAGAGAGAAGCGACACAGACCCCGACCGCCGATCTCCAACCCCGTGTTCTGCCATCTCCCCCGGTCTTAACTCCACTCAACCTCCACGATGCAATTAGGACTTTCAGAATATCTCTCGGCCCTGGTCGCAAGACGGTTTACAGCTGCTCGAGACACCGGCAATCTCGTGTTCTCCTCAACCCATCTGTCCATCATCAATGCCGCAGGGATATCAGTGAGTGACGTTAAGACCCCGACCACGGCAGGCAGTTCTAACCTCCAAATCCAGTACCAACTTCGCTACTGCCCTGCCCTCGCAAAGAAACCCTCCAATTCGAAGGAAAATGTCCCGAAAGCACCAAAGCCCGATCCCTTCGAGAATCCATCTCCAGATCTTCTGATCGCCCAGTTCCCACCCGAGAACCCCGCTTATAACCTCATCCTCAACAAATTCCCCGTCATCCCGAATCACTTCCTGCTCGTGACGAAGGACTGGCAGGCGCAGACGGATATACTCGACGAGGCAGACCTAGAAGCTACATACGAGTGTCTAAAAGCCTGGAATACCGACGGTGATGGATCAAGATCCGCAAACGGCTCATCTGCAAAGAGCCTCTTCGCCTTCTTCAACTCCGGCGACGACAGCGGTGCAAGCCAACCCCACCGCCATCTCCAATTCCTCCCGGTTGAGGCAATGCGTCAACCGGGCTCAGAGTCCTGGCACCCACTGATCGACCTCCTCACCTCGCAACCAACATCCCCTTCCCCGACACCCAAGTTCCAGCACCTATCAGGTCTCCCCTTCTCCCACTTCGCCCTCCCGATCCCACCGAACCCCTCCGCCGAAACTCTGCATGCGATTTACCTCACCCTCTACAAGGCCGCAGCCGCAGCGACGCGCGGACAGACGCCATGCCAGGACACCGAGCCCCTCCCCACACAAGGACCGGCGTCTATAAGCTACAACCTGGCCATGACCCGCTCGACGATGATGATCTGCCCGCGCAGACAGGAGACCGCACTTGTCCCCGTCGACAGCGAGGCGGCGCGCGATATTGTCGACCCCGGCGTGCTCTCGCTGAATGGTACTATCCTTGCTGGCACGCTGATGGTTAAGGCTGAGAGTGAGTGGGATGCTTTGCGGGAGAATCCGGAGAATTTGACGCAGGTCCTCGCTACCATTGGATATCCTCGTACGGATTCTCGTGGGCCTTCGCTGTGAATAGTTGTCTGAGGTTGTTGTATAGATACGGGGTGGACGTGGTAGACTACTTGCATGCCAGAATCAAATACCCGGAGTGGGATTGCTTGGATTTGTATAATTACCTGCCTTGTAGTTCTCTTGTCTACAAGGTGCTATAAAGAAATCCATGATTCCCCAATAGAAAATATGCCTAGTTCTTCTATGCTGCATCTACATGGACAAAGTGTACGAGATGGAAGAATCTGGATTCTGAATATGTAGCGAGGACAAGACAGAGAGATGTCAATCACAAAGGACAATAATCCAGATCGTTGCCCACCTAACACCTTCAGGATCTGTTAGCCTGGCAAGTTTCCCTCGGGATACTAGTAATGGGTGAGTGGAAATGCAGGGGGGGTATCTGCCAGAAAGGTCCGGGACAGCAACCATGCTAGTGAACCAGATGAGATACTCCCTCTCTCGAGGTGTTTCTTCCATCCATTTATGAAGAGACCTTGGCAGATAGTAGAACCATGGCCCAGCCACACCGGTTGCAGTCGCAGTGAAAGCAAATAGCGCGCTGAAGCCAGCCGAAGAAATGTACGGCCTTTGTCCAAACTGGTGTGGAGAAACAAAACAATGGTGCCATGGGTTCTCACTTCCAGGCTGTTATCCATCACGATCGGGCAGGAGACAGGACAAGCAAGAAGCGAGGGGCGGAACAAAAGGCGGTCGGCCGTGCATGCAGAAGCAAAGACGACACCGCCCAAGGACGAACATTTTCCTATCTAGGAAAGTACTAGAATGGTCGCACGTGACTCAAGAAACCCCAATTGTATCCGTTAATTTGATTATAAAAGGGCGGATTCGAGTCTGGAAAATGAGCGGGCCATGCTGGGAACAAACCTGATAGTCTTGCTCTTAGGCTAGCAGATATAGTCCTCTCCAACGGTCTTCTTGAGATTGATCTGATTGAAAGGCCATCATACCGCTGGATATAATGAGGCAGGCTGTTTGCCAGGATTGCATGGTGTTGTGACTTGTCCTGGAAGCGCGGGATTCCACACATAGCCTGCAGCCCGAATGGCCGCGGTGATGCTCGTCGGGTTCTTGGGTTTGTAGTGCATCGTGGGAGAAAGTGGTCGCTTCATTGGCGGTTCCGTTCGTCTTGGCCGCCAGGGCGTAAACTTGGCGGGTATGAGGATGTGGAGGTGTCCGTGTTGGTCGAGAAAGACTTTGGTAAAGAAGTCTCGTAGCCAGGATTGGTTTCCTGGAAGGCAGGAAGGCATGTGCTAGTCGTGCTAGATGAATAGCGGTGAATTGCCATGAATATAGCCGTCACCCGTCGTCACGGTGATTGTGTCCGGCAACATACAATCGGTCCGGTATCTATCTATACTTACTAGACCTAAGGTGCGAGAGCTCGTACTTTCATATGATAGATTTTTATGCCCCATGGACTGAGTTGATACTTCCCCCTATACTTGCAGGTCTAGTTCTATCATTATCTAACTACTATTTATTGGGTGTCAGCCAAGCTAGGCTCTAGTAGTATGTGGTACGTTCATTTTCGATCGGACTCCATAGCAGAACATCAAAGAAACCCGATAATTGCCTAGACAAAAGAGTGAATATTTGACATCCAAGATATTCGTGGCCTTGGAATAAAATTGAACGGTTAGCTCATGACTCATCACACACGAGCCTTCATCTTTCGAAGCTAAGGAACCTCACTAAACCCTACCGGGCTGTAGCTGGGCACTGACCTGGGGCGCAGACCCGGGGGCCAATCCATGTGGTCTATAAAAATCCGCGTGATTGGCCAAAATCCGCAGTGTCATTTCCCGTGGACTCCTTATTGGCATTCCGGACCCTTGTGCTGTGCCATTTACAGTGGTTGAGCCTCACAATGCCTTGTGTTTCTCGTATTGAGCTTGGTCCCCACATTTGGTTCCATCGATACTTAAGGACGACGGCCTCGCACTCATTGATCGTTGATACTTTTTACCTACCGAGCTACAGACGGACTGCCTACGATGGAAAACAACAAAGAGTCAACAGTGCCCATTTCACCACCGGCCGCCGAACCAATTGCAGATTTTGCAGCACTGGCAGCGAATATACCGAAAACAGCGCCGGTAGATCGCACAGCTCCGCCCGCAGAGTTGTCCGGAGCATTGCCGACGGCGACGGCGTCGCCGGCAGCGCCTGAAGGGACACCGACACCAGAACCCACTACAACCACTACAAGATCATTGCCGGTAGCCGAGCCAATGGCAATCATTCCGGCGGAGAGTGGGCCTCCGCCACAATACGATGAGTATGATTCCCTATCAAAAGAGAACAGCCGAAGCTAACAGAAGCAGGCACGAGAAAGACGCAATCACAACACCTGCACCGGCAGTTACATTACCACAAACCAACGAGAAAGTTGTGCCAATCGCTGCAGTTTCTCAGAGGGTCATTCCATTGGCCCAGCTTGGTGAAGAGCCCGGAAGGATCAGTTGTCCATTTTGCTTCCACGAGGTTCAGACCAGGGTGAACAAGGAGAGCACCAGCGCGACATCGTAAGCATTGATCTATGCTCAACTTTATCTTTCAATAGGTTTTACTTCTGATGATACTAATCTCTCACTTTATAGTATGGCGGCCGTCTGCTGCTGTCTCTTTGGCGGCATCCTCTGTGCATTCCTACCGTTCTGTATGGAGATGTGTCACGATTCACACCATTTCTGTACAAACTGTGGAGTACAAGTCGCTATTCATCCGCACGAAGGTCCGGTCCAGCAATTTGGACCCAATTCCCTTGGGGCGATTATTCAAGGACCAGGGCGCATTCAACCACCGCAGGCAGTCATGAAGAACTAAGATGGCAATCTACAATGTTACAAGGAGCAATGGATATGCAATGGGTGTACTGGTTATCTTGATACCTTCCGTTTACTCTGAGATCTATATTACTTTCTTGTCATTAATCAGATAAAAGGTTATGACGAAGCATTCGAATTTCATTCATGAACCCTGACCCATGCAAGATGGACCAGCCACCTTGCATGGGTCAGGGTTCGAAACATACAAACACGTCCCCCTAGGGGATGATTCCGTCCTCATTGGGCAGGGTCCCAATCAACATCTCATAAAGGTCGGCCAGGATCCCCTGGCCGACGGGGTCCCGCCAGTGGCGGATCACCCGGGCGAACTCGAGCTTGGTCTCCCAGATGCGCTCGCTCAAGGCCTCGATCTCGTCGCGGGGGAGGGGAGAGGTGCTTGCCAGGAGGTCGCGACGGTCGATGCTGGCCTTCAGATTGAAGATTCCTCCAGCGAAGGCGCGGCACATGGCGCCGTTGACGAGACCGGAGGTGGAGACTGATGCGGGAGGCTGTGCGCTCATGCTATGTATCAAAGTATGTTAGCATATTGTCAATTGGTTTATACATGTGACCCAATGGTTTATTTACATACCTTGCGGTGGTACAACACCGGTGAGAGAGGAAGTTGCGGACGTGGGTGGGCGTGGTATATTGAACACACGCTTGATGGTATGGGGTGAAAGGGCCGGATGCTGGAAGACACGATTGAGATTGTGTGACCAGATGGGATGAGTGGGAGGCGGATGTAAGAAAGAAAAATTCTTTTGAGAGAGTTCAGCAATTCATGGTCCCCCGTCGTCTTCAGCGCAGCCGGTAATCGGGTCGGCGTCGAGTAGAACGTCCGAGAATGAAGGTTAACGATGGACAATGATAATATTCAATTTCTATAGCTTTGATCCCGTCGCTTTAGCAACGAGATGCGCGTTAACCGGCGTGATAGCCTTCCCAGTCTGATAGAACGAAATAATATTCTCCATACCCAACCTCTCAAACCCGATGTGTGAGTCTACTGACGCACCCGCGTTGTGCGCCATCATCTCAACATTTTTCATACCTGCGAGCTCCGGACTGACGTGCGGCTCGTCATAGTGGACATCCAAACCAGCAGCGACAAGCTTACCGCTCCGGAGAGCATCAACAAGGGCGCTCTCATCAAGGAGCTTACCACGGGCAATGTTAATGAGTCTCGAACCAGTTTTCATCTTTGCCAGCAGAGATGCATTGAGAAGTGTCTCCCCGCTAAACGGCGTGGCAACCATAACACAGTCTGAAACAGCGAGAAGACTGTCCATGCTCTTGTGGTATGTTGCCTTCGAGACAGCTTCCAGATGTGCGGGCATCTGCACGATGTCATGGTAATGGATCTTCATGTTCATGGCTAGAAAGGCTTTCTCGGCCGTGCGCCGCCCAATCTGGCCAAATCCAATGATCCCAAGTGTATGTCCATTTGGATTGTGAGAGACCATTGCCAGATTGCGGTTTGCGTCGACAAATGCATCGGCATCCAGTGTTCGTGCGGCAATGTGTGACCAGGAGAATTGGCGGAATGTAGAGATAATGAGCCAGATTGCGGCATCGGCGACAGATTCAGTGCATGCTGCTGCAGCATTGCAGTAAGTAACTCCTGGATAGGAACTATGTTAGCTTCTTTCTCCGTGACTTAGGTTTCCTCGTTTTTCTGTGCCATTGTATACATACCCTTCTTCGCCAAAGCTGCGGTGTCAACCCAATCAAATCCAGCACCCGCACTAGCATAGACCTTGCAGGAATCTGGCAGTAGCGAGACAAGATCTTCATCCCAGTTTCCCATCTCACCGCCGGTATTCCAAAACGGGCGGTAGATGGCAAAGAAGTCACCGAATTGACACTCTTTCAGGGCTCGGATAAACTCCGACCGAGACATGCTGTAGGACCGGCGGATCTCAAAGGCATCTTGAAACTTGCTGTGTAGGTCATGATTCCAGCGAATGTCATCGCCGAGTTGGAGGACGATTGGTTTGGACATTTTGGGTGGACTTCGGGTCTGTATAGATCGGCTCGGTAGTTGGAATAGGGTTTTGGGGTATTCGATGGCGGTCAACGGGCAAATAGTATAAGGGGATTGTAGAACTTATTAAAAGAATCTTATTTCTAAGCTGGCAAGGCGGAATCAGTTAAATATTTCATTTCCGACTCCCTTGTCGATGTTCATTGCGGCTATTGGACTTTCTACGCCACGGCTATTGAGCGACCGCCCGGGTATCGATGGCCCGGTTAATGAAATCCGAGATACCAACCACCGAGCTAATGAAGGGAATGTCATGTCTACCACACAAAAGGACAAAAAAGAGAGGTAAGGAAGTTGTATTTCTAAAGTAGATGATCCTGGGAGCTATTTACCTTAGATTGTTGGCCACCTTGAATAACATAGAATGCAAAGGCCAAGCCAGGCAAAAGGAAGATAAGCAGCCAACCATTTCACCGAGATTCATTGAATAAAAGCCATCTAGAGAAAGCAAGAGGGGAAAAATCCGTAAATTGAGCGAACTGGAGAGAGAGAAAAGAAGGGAGCTCAACACTGGGGAAGCTATCGACATCCTGCTAAAAGACCGGCGGCCTCATCCCCCATGACCAGCTAAGCCATAAGAATTGAACCATCGTAAATTGAAGCCCATGATACAAAACCATGCAATACGTCCACATAATACTGAATTGATGCGACTCCTACAATATTACCCGTGTTTTCACGACATCGTGGGGTTGTTGGGGTAAGCTCGATCCATGGACTTTGTGCTTTGTTATTGTCTGAATGCTGGTGTTGTTGTTTGAATTGTCAAATTGCTGACCCGTCAAGATAGGATGACTTATTCACACACCTTGCGGTGGTATAAACAACGAGGACGCCTATACCATAATCGCATGTAGCGACGAGTCGAATCGGTTGCTGGCAGACTGGGGCATGGCCTTGGAAATTTGGTGTTTCCGCCATTCTACCAGTATCGGTTGGACACACACAGCCTAAAGGGCATTAAAAATCCGTCACAGATGCGTTCTAAGCTCCTCACTTGTCCATTTTCGGCCTTTTCAATTCAATGTAATTTAGTCCATTCGGTAAAAGAGGTTTTGTTTTCTGCTAATCAAAGTGACTTGGGTAAAGCTTCACGTATAAAATTGGTGCCAAGGCCTTCGGCGACGAATATTGCCATAGCTCCTACCTTGTGTAGAAATTATTGTCGTAACCATCCCTAAAAAGTTGAGCCCCGATGATCTTGTTAAACGTGCTAACTGCTCCCTTCAACTTCTTGTTCTAGTTTAAGGATGAAGACACAGCAATGGGTCTACGCCCCGCTACCACCCCACCATGTCCACATACGCTGGTACTCGTCCAGGCGGAGGTCTTCTGAATCTGTTGCGGCTTGTGTATCACGGAGGCATGTCCTCGGCTTATATGTTTATTGTAGTTCTCTATGAAGAGGATGTGACCGTAGTCGCGCCGGAGTCACCCCCGCACTCCGGTTCGGACTTAGCGGGGAGGAGGGGCCTGCAGTATGAGGTTGGGCGTGGAGTATACTACACACTCTTGCGGATAGTGGAGGAAAGGTCGGAAACCTTGAAGGAAGCAATGGGGATGATGAGACCAGATTGGGTGGATGGATTTTCTTCTGACCTAGAGACTTGGGGATTGTTTTGTGTTGTGTGTACACGGGCGTTGTGCAAGGCTCGACGAAGGTTTCGGAGGTTTCAACGGCTTGGTTGGTTTGAAAGTGACAGGTTTCGACGGCTAGCTCGTCGGCTCTCGGGTCATAATGAATGCGTAGTGGCGCTAAGATTGAAAATGTACTTGGTGTTAAGGGAAAGTCGACATTAAGCGACATACGTGTAAAAGTCCCGTCGATGCGATAGAGAGGTATTTCTTCCCCCCGGGGGTAGCAATGCTGCGGTCAATGAAATCAGGGTCCAGACCCTCGCAGACTGAGCTAGCCGGAGAGACAAAAGACCAGAGAGATCAATCTTAAGAGGGGACAAAATGAAGATGACCTGAGGCTGACATGATGAGAATCAATGAGTATGCACCGGAATAATGGACAGAATAGACAAAGGGCGATGTGGACAAGTATATGACTTGAGCCCCTGTAGGATTTACCCCCGTTGTGAGAAAATTAGAACTGCAAGAAGCGACACACGGTTAAAGAAGATGAGCGAGCGGTTTCTTGTCAATGTGCGGGAATATGATGTATCTCCTGCGTAGTTCTGAGTCTGGATTTTGGTATTTCTCGAGGAAGTCGTGGTATTCTTCATGGAGGATTTTGGAGAAGTGTTTCTTGCCTAGGTACTCATATTCACTCGTGGTGGAGGGAACAAACTTTTAGGATACCAGACAAACAATATAAATGAGACCTGAGTGATATGCACAACCGGTCTGCCTGCTCGCTTCGGCTAGGGGTATCGACTCGAGTGGCTGAGACAGGTTTGCCCATAAGGGTAACGAGCGTGTTGTGCATTGAAGACATGTTGTCGCGTGCAGTAGGGAACTTGGATTCTTTCGGGAAGCGGTTCTCGGCGAGGGCTTGGTCGACGTCATGGCCTGGCGGGTATGTGCCCAGATGGGAGAACAGGTGCTGTCGATGGTGCTGGGCATATCGACGAATGACTTGTTGGCGACGATCACGCCGATTGTGAATGGGCTAGCAGCGGCCTTTACGTTCAAGCGCGTAAAAATCGATCTTATTTAAGCGGGTGTCGAGCTCCTTATTCTATAGAGCAGCGGAGTCTCGGGGACTACAAAGGGCCTGCTTCAACTGGCATACCCAGTCTTTGATTCTAATGTCGGTTTCGCTGTATTCAAAACCTACTGGCTGTGATGACGTTCACATCATTCTGTAGTCTCTGCAGAGTCTCACTCCATCCACACTCAACAGCAACAGTGGGAATGTCTGAGCCACGGATCATGTAGAAGAAGTCAGGTTCCTTCCTAGAGGTGCGATACGGCCCACTAGGGAACCCAAGAGCTGTGTTCATGAGCTTCAAGTGCCCACTAAAGTGGTACACGATAGGATGGCTCGCTGGTTCCGCATTCACCGTGTATTGCCTCCTCTTCGTCCGCTGTGATGGCATCGAAGTAGTGAGCGTAGCGCCTATTAGATTCGAGAGCCCCCGGTTAGGGATAATATAAAACCGCCGATCGTTCCCGAGCCGTATGTGCCTCTGAGTGCGAGACTTTGACTGATTGGGAGGTTGGTGTGGAGCACGTCGCGTTGGGCGAAGGCGTTTACCACACGGCGATTGAGGAGCACCGCTGACGTCGGTGGGAACTCGCCCACCAGCAGTTGACGCAATCATCAGTTACCCGGGGCTTGTGGTCAACGATACACAGGGGAAAGACTCCATAGCCCTGGAGACAGTGGTCACACTCGGAGATGGAAATGGTTCATTCTTCGTTGCACGCATTGATGGTCCTTTAGTTACATGGGAGAGGGAGATCCTTCCTTCGCACTAATTTTGTTGAATAGCCGCCTTCATTCCAACAAGGACTGGCGGATGT